CTCACCGAACGTCTCCTTGCTACTGCGATCTCGCCCACAGGAAGCCGCGACCGCGCGGCAGCCGGGAAAATGGCCGCAGATCCGGTTCGTAAGTAGAGGCGGAGTTCGCAAGTAGAGGTAAATTTTTGGGGCTGGGGCTGGTTGTATCTTGAAAAATTCGTAAGGAGGGGCGTTCGTAACTAGAGGTACCACTGTAGTTTACTTCATTTTAATGGAAGCTTTGATTGTTGTAGGTTGTTTTAGAATTGTTTAGTTATTTCTTCAGAGTAAGAGAGAATTCTGAGGAAGCACTAGGAAGGAAGAAACAAACATTAATTTCACTTTATTTACTTATTTATCAAATTTGTGTGCTGACTGACTCCCAACTATTCTGGGCAACTCACAAGTAAAACAAGAAATATTTTAATAACAAGTGAAAAATAAAAGATGGCAAGAACAACAAACTAGACAGGAATGAAACAAAGGAGCTTCACTTTCCCTCACCAAAGGCCTAGCCAAAGAGCCAGGTCTTCAAGGCCTTCTAAACAACACCAGAGTGAGGGCCACCCGGATCTGTGGGGGAACCTCATTCCAGAGAGCAAGCACTGTTACAGAGAAGATACACTTCTGGAGTCCTAATAGATGGCAGTTGAAGAACCCAGAGTGTGCTAACCTTGCAAGATTGAATCAGTGGGGTAGATATAGGGAAAAAGTGATCCCTCAAGAAACCAGGACCTATGCCATGTTGGCTTTATAAGTAACAACCAGCATCTTGAACCATACCCAGAAGCAAGCTGGTAACCAGTGCTGCTTGCGAAGTAGAAGTGTTACATGGACATACTGTGGAACATTCACAACTGCCCACGCTGCTTCATTCTGGACCAGTCTTTGGATGGTCTTCAAAGGCAGCTCCATGTATATTGTATTGCAGTAGTCAGGCTGTGAGATGACCAGGGCATGAATGATTGTCTGAAGGGCCCCTGATCTAGGAAAGGGTACAACTGGCACACCAAATGAAGTTGTGCAAGGGCTGTCCTGGCCGTAGTTGCCACCTGTTCTTTGAGTAGGACTGTGAGTCCAGGAAGACCCCCAGATTGTGCACCACCCCTGAATGGGGAAGTGCAACTCCATGCAAAGTGAAAGATGAGGTATCCCCAGATCTGGGCAGCCCAAACACCCACAACCACTTGGTCTTGGTAGAATTGAGTTGTACAGAAAATATGATCAAGGGTATTGAAGAGAAATAAACAATGGCTTGTAAAAAATAAATCATGTTAGCCTTCTAGAGGTTTTGAGAATATGGAAAGCATATGGAATAGAGGTGATCTGATAGCTTTCTGAAACCTCATCTAAACCGTCCATTGTTAAACACTTGTTAAACAACAAGAGATGAAAGAAGGAATTTTCTATGAATTGGTGATGGATTAAAAAACATGAAGCAGAGAATCGAAATAAATAGCCAGTTCTCAACACGGAGGAATATAAAGAAGCTTTTTAACTGTTAAACTTCTACAGTTTGTAATATAATGCAATACTGTGGGAAAGGTTCAGATTGTGTAAGTTACAGTTCTGTTTAAATTAAAGGGGTCGGTAATGATCAAATCTTAATGATTTCAATGGATCTACAGCTGGATTACTTTGGATTCAATGCAACATTTTTACTATGTGCTAATTAATCTTTATTCAACATACTCTGAAGAACCGATGTTATACAGTGCTGTCATTTGAACAAATCCCTCATACAACCAAAACTCTACGAATATTTTTTCTAAGTGATAGGAGTAAGGATACCCCAAAGTCAGCCATGTACATTTTTTGGTGCTGGAATATTCAAACAGATGAGATTTTAAAAATGTACTGTAATATTTATTGTCAGTTTTTAAAACAAATGTAATTTGTTTTATTCTTTTTGAAAAATGCATGAGTCAGATGCATTAGAAATAATTCTATTCCTTAATTCTATTAAAACATAAAGAATTAGTTAGCTGTGTAGGCTGGACATCAGCAGATGAACTATATTCATGCAGTGATGATCACCAGATTATAAAATGGAACTTGTTAAATGGAGAAACAACACTAGTTGTGAAGCTTCCTGATGATATTTATCCTATAGATCTTCACTGGTTTCCCAAAAGTTTAGGTGGAAAGAGACAAACCCATGCTGAGAATTTTGTACTTACAAGTTCTGATGGTAAGTTGCCTTGAAAATTTATGTTATTCATTTTGGTGTACTATCAGAAATATGATGTTCCATCCCAAATCACTAATGTTAAATTCTTCTGTGGGTGTCATATTGATTGTATTTGCACATAACACTACACCAGGATTTGTTTTGTCCATTATTGTTCAAACAAGTAAGGTTGGTCTTCGAGACAAGCAGATTAATAATTTTAATCTGAGAAATTTTGTCCAATTTCTCGTTTGTTTTTCCTTCAATTCTGCTAGTAACCAGATGGCATCCCCAATGAGTTAGTGTCTTCTGCTATGTTTTTTTTTTTTTTTTACTGTACATTTGTGGTGGCTTATTGGGTAGGTACTTTTACATGGGAATAAACGAGAGTTGTCTTTGCTGTGGTGCATTAACTGTGTAGTGTAAATGTTTTTCAGTTTCTTTAATGGAGTGTGTATATTAGCTTTCAATATATTTTTGTAAGGTTCATGATTTTTGGTGGCATTTATGTTATGCGTGTGTATACGTGAGGGGGGGAAAAGAATTTGTTCAAAGACAATTGACCTTAGACCCAGCTTTGGTTGCCCTGATAAGTGTTCTGTACTGGGGGAGGGGGGCAGTCTCTCTAAATTACCATTTTAGTGCTATGCTGAAATGGTTAGTTTGTTGTTTTTCAGGCCCAATTCAAGGGGCTTACAGTGGTGTTTAAGGTCTTTCTTAAACAGCTTGGGTTCAAGTTATCTATACCTGCTCCTGTACAGTTCTTCCCATGCTCTTGAATCATCAACCAGGCAAGTTTGGTGGGTTCCGCCATGGATGCATTTAACATTAACAACGAATTTGGCTTTTTCTGGGGTAAGACCCATGGTATGGAATAAACTGCCACTGGAACTGAGGCAAGTCTATGATCTAAATTTAGGATTCATGTATATACTTACTAGTGCAGGCTTTTTAATATTGTCATAGTTTTTTACTCATTTTATCATTTAATAATTATTTATTTTCTGGATGTTTTAAGAAAGTCACCTACAGCCATAAAGGGAGTGGACAGCATATTCATCTTTTAAATAAAATATAAAGTATGGTACATTCACACTCAGTGAATCAAAACAAATCTAGGCTAATTGCTATTTTTAAACCAGGGCATTTTCTGTTCTCTATTCTCTCTTCCATTCTCCCCCCCCCCCTTATTCAAAATGTAAGCAATTTTGCACAATAAATGCACTAGTTCTAATGTGATATATTTGGTATGATGGGGATCTCTTTGTATGTGTGTTCCCACCTGGGATAAAAGTATTTAAAAAAGCAAGTGGTAAAATATGCCAGATTCTTCAAATACTATTGAAATGTAAGTCAACACAACTGGTATGATATGGTGGCCTTTAATGTAACTGTGTTACTTTTTAGAACCAGGTCTTTGGCATAATAAAAGCAGTTCCTCAAAACACACTAACTCAGCAAAAAGGTAGATGTAAGGGAAAGAGGAGGTTCAGAAAAGTTAATTTTATGTCTACCAAAAGAGCTGTTAAATTGCTGTCGATTTGCGTAGAAGCACATTCAAACCATACATAATGCAATCCCCCTTGCTCTGCTACGATGTGACTTAAGATATATGTTCCCATTTGCCTTTTATTGCAAAGAATTGTTGTCATTTTATGTAATGTTGATACTAAGCATGGTATTTTCCTGTGTGGCATTTTGCATGTGATACCTTGTGATTTACAACTGTCTGCATGTGGATTGGAAACCTTGCTAATAGCATTCATTGAAGAAATAGCTGTTTTGGAGGTGGGGGAGTCTAATCCCTTAATACTGTGCACTTGTCTGAATGTATGAGAAAACAGCTGTTTTTGGGAGGGAGGAGTTTCAGATGAATTTTCTACAATGCTACTTGTTGATTACTGAATAATTGATTGTTGTGGAAGAAGACAGATTCTATGGATAAAATTTCTTGATAAATTAATACATTTTATTTTCTGTGTATTTTCTTGGAGATTAATGTTCTCACATAAAATTTTAGGAGCTGGAACTTTATTTATAATAGCCGGCAAATGTAACAGGATGACAGCATATTTCCTAGATTTAAAACTATCATGAGCAGATATAAGATAATTGAATGAAATTATGTAGAAAAGCTGGAATTTATAAAATAAAACATTTACAGTAAAAAAAATTAAATTACAATTGTAGTTTTTTGGGGGAAATGCACTGATTCAAGCTTGTTTTTATAAGAAAAAATTTATGGTGTAAGTCTAGAGTTAAAATAGACCCAGGGGCCATAGACCAGTTGTTTAAGTAGAGTATGCTTAAACTCTATGCTTTCCTTATAATAACTTTTTATAGCCATTTTTCTCAGTAGAAATTCCAATGCTAACAATTACTGCAAGAGAAAAAATATTTTGATTCAGCTGATCCCTGTCACATACTCATGCTATATGCTAAATCAGAAATCAGCAAGATTCCATCATATTTAGTTGCCACATCAAATTGCAGTAAGCACCCGCACTTCAATTAAGCCCCACTGGATCAGTTGATTTACTTCCAAATAAATATACTAGAAGATGAGTTCTGTTGTTTATGACTATTAATAATAATTTTTTATCCAATAATAAGTACAAGTAATCCTAGGTTAACATCCACTTGTTGAACGACCATTCAGAGTTGTGATGGTGCTGAATGAGTGGTACTTACAACCGATTCTCAAAGTTCCAGCTGTTGCAGCACCCCTGCAGTCATGTGATCATGATTCAGGCGCTTGGCAATCGGCTCACTGGTTACAGTGTCCCACAGTCACATGATCAACATTTGTGACCTTCCCTTTCAGCTTCCCACAAGCCAAGTCAATGGGGAAGCCAGCAGGGAAGGTTGCAAGTTGCTCTGGTAAGTTGCACCTGCTGCTTTTTCTCCTGAGAAGCCCACTATGGAGTACGAGATCCCAGGGCAACACTTGTGCAGCACTGCAGCTCTCTGTCCCCCAGTCACGCTCCATAGTACCCGCCTGCTTGTAAGCTGCCTGGGACTTGCGACTTCCTATTGGCTTCCCCATTGACTTGGCTTATTGGAAGCCAGCAGGAATTCACAAGTCATGATTACGTGAGGTCATTGTTTAATGTACCGCAATCCTTGCTTAACAACAGGAATGGCGACTTCTGGGATTGCTGCCTCTAAGCAATGAAGTCACATGACATCACGCTTTACTACTGCATTGCTTAGCAACAGAAATTCTGGCCCCAATCACCACTGTTAACTTAGGACAGCCTGTATATGGTTTTTTCTGAAAGAATCATATAGTACAGAGAGATAAAGTATGAGTGTAGGGAAAAAAACGTAAAAGTACCAAATTTAGGAGAAAAGTTAAAAATCAAAGGTTAGGAGAATGACTTTAAACCTATTAATTTTCATGTTCTTTCCCACCCACCCTCGCCCCATATATACACAGCAACACAGAGATGTACATGCACTTTAATAAAAAGAGAAGAGTGCAAATGTTACACATATACTGGCACTGAATAGCCTATAATATGTTTTCTTAGAGACGTACTATGCCCTCAGTCAAATCTAGCAAATTGATTCTGCATGTAGGTAACCAAAATAAGCCTTAAGCCATCAGTTTTAATACCAGAATTCCCTTGAGTTTATTGCATTTTATTAATGCATTTTTTTAGTAGTAGAATAAAATGTATAAAGTATTCACTGAGATTTTGTTTTGTTATATAAGTAATAGAGCATTACTCACTGAATTATATCTAACTAGGCAACTGCTGAAATTTGTAGATTAACATATTATTTTAATGAACAAAACAGTACTGTAGGTGTTTTAAGGTTTGCTAGGTTAATTATTCCATAGGTTATCATCATATTAAGACCAAAAATAGTTTATACGTAATAAAGGATTTCTTATAAATTAGGCTTTTATAGTGCTTGACACAATAATAGCATATATCTTGTATGTAGTATCCAAATAATTCTGTAAATGGCACTACTACAAAGTAGGAACTGTTATCTTTATTACTTAGATTTGCTTTGGTATGTATTCCACTACTTGTATCAATCACTTTTGTGTAGGGTCAGGATCTAATTCTTATTTATTACCTGTCTCAGATGTAAAGCTCCCCTTTTCCCTTCTAAAACTCAGTACTCACTGCTGCTATATTTTTGCTCAGGAAAATAAATTTAAAAACTCAACTTTTTTTTTTTTTACCCTGCATTGCATGGTACTGGATTGTTATTAATAACAAGAGAGAGGATGAGCTCATAGATTTTGCTGAGACATGGTTTCAAACCACTTTCAAACAGTGATTGAAGAAAACGCTACAGCTTGGTTCATATATCACACTAAGTAGAAACCATAGTAGCTACTTAACATACTAAGCCAAAACTAAACAAAGTACATTGTTTTAGTACAGTGTGTGTGTTGAGTCAGAAAGAGCTGAAATATAGATAATTAATTAGTTAATTCTTAAGTAGATGCTGTCTTTCCTTCAGGATTTCAAAGAATATCCCCCCCACACACACACACCCACACACTTTTCTACACATCAACAGTTCTGTAAGGTAGGTTGGTTGTTGGAAACTGACTGGCTCAAAGTCACCAAATTAGCTTCTGTGGGTTAGTGTACTTGAGACTATACTTATGCTCCTACTTCAATACTTTAGCAACTAACCGCCTAGATAATGCCATGTGTGACGATAAATTTTATTTATTTATTTATTTATTAGATTTACCTCCGCCCATCTCCCCCAATAGGGCACTCTGGGCGGCTCACAAGATCCGTTAAAATAATATATATAAAATTACATAAAACATGAAAACTATGCAAAGCTTTACTGAAAAAAGAGAAAGTCCAAGAGGCTGATGGTTTCCAGAGCTGCAGACAACAGGCCTCTAAGGGGGTAGCCATCCCCACACTTGGTCTTCCCTCCCCACCCCAGGCCAAGTGGCAGAGCCCAGTCTTCAGATCTCTCCGGAAGGCCAGGAGTGAAGGAGCCAGTCTCCCCTCTAGGGGTAAGATATTCCAAAA